GTACATTCGAAAAGCAAGAAAAAAAAAAAACTGAACTTTCTAGCAAGTTGTTGGGTGGTTCAAGTTCTTTGCAATGAGAATAATATAAGTGATCAAACAGAACTATACCCCCCCTTGTAAACCAGATGAATAAGATTTATCTAAAAATGAAGTCTTTTATCCACTCAACCATTTTACTTAGACTGATATCAAATGTCATCAACCACAATAAACCAAAAAGGGAAGCCTTCACATTATCAACCAATTGAATTCTTAGCAGCTTGCTACTTTCATTAAGTGGTGGCCGGCAGGCCGCCGGCGGCGACGACGGGGATGCCACGTCAGCTCAGGCTCTCCTACATTATGGGTTTGACTTTTTTGCCACCTCATATGTTTTTCAATTGACTGTATTATTGGGCTGGGCCCTTATGAGGTGGAGGATAAAACTGGCTGTTACACTGTTATTGGGTTTCTCCTGGTCAGGTCCATTTAGGTTCAAAATATTATTTGTCAAGTTTATTGGTTAAAATCCATCTTATATATAAGTTCAAATTTTGCCGAATATAAGTTGTAGATTCACGTGCTTCTTGATGTTCTTGTAATTTAATTTGGCACAAACCTATGATTTTTTAATTGACAAGTATACTGGACAATATTAGATACATTAGTAATGTTTTTCTGTCCATATGAGCACGATTTATTTGGGCGTCCCTCTTATCATGGCAGGATCACGAGCCACACGTATGAACGATTTCTCGAAAAAGCTGAGGCTTGGTTGTCTGGGTTGAAAGCAACATCCTTATCCATGGCGGGTCATGTTGTTTTGACGCATGCCGTTCTAAGCGCCCTTCCTTATTACACGATGCAATCACTCTGTCTGCCGAACTCCATCTGTGAAGGCCTAGAAAAACGTTGTCTGCGTTTTGTTTGGGGTGGCTCGTACGATAAACAAAAACTTAGCCTCGTCAAATGGGATGAACTTTGTATAGCCCGCGAGTTTGGAGGGCTGGGTTTGAAACGATAACGTACGATGAATGATGCCTTGCTGATGATGATTGTTTGGATAATTATCACTAACCACCATGCACTATGGGTCCGAGTCTGGAAAGCGAAGTACAGTGAAAACCCGTTCTCGACTTTCACTGGTAATCGTAGCTCGGTGCCGGTGGTCCT